TTGCAGGCTTATTTTTTTCTATTGCCTGGCTACTATTTTGTATCTACCACAATGCCCCAGAACATTGCTTGGGTAAGGAACTGGAAGAATATCTAGCTGAAATTCTTCAAAATAGACTCTTGAGAAATGGGGTGCGGGCGTGTGTTGATTTTTCTTAGAAAGATGCTGTGCAACAGCTGCTCCTCCCTCTCTCCCTCTGCTAAATTAACCCCCCCCCCCAGTTTTATGCCATTGTGGTGTATTGATGTGCACCCCCTGGATTAGCTGCGGTTGCAGACTCTCCAAGTGTCCCTATTTTCCAGGGACGTCCTTGTTTTAGAGAAGCCATCCTGGTTTCTGGTTTGATCCTGGAATGTCCCACTTTTCCTTAGGATGTCCCTATTGTCACTGGAGAAATGTTGGAGGGTATGGAGTTATCCGACCTCTGAGCCATCTGAAGGCAATCCTGTATGGGCATGTTTTTTAACATTTTGTTAATGTTTTATTATGGTTTTATGTGTGTTGGGTGCTGCCCAAAGTGGCTGGGGCAACCCACTAAGATGGGTGGGGTATAAATAATCAAATTCTCATTATGGAATGGGGCATCCCTGTTTTCATCAGAGAAGTGTTGGAGGGTATGTGGCTGCAGCACCTGCCTTCTCATCTCCCTGTGTCTGTATCTGTGGCATCAGCATCAGCCGGCCGCAGCCACCTTGCCTTCACCACCACAGATGTCTTCTAAGACATTTTGTCACTATTATCTCTGTGCAGCACAGCCACAAAGAGAGGCCCAGCAACACTGCCACATCCACAGCTATGCTATGGAACTCACTGCCACAAGACACACAGGTGACCACTACCTTGGATGGCTTTAAAATCAGATTGGACAAATTCATGGAGAGTGGCTCTGCTCTGATGGCTCTGCTCTGCCTCCGTAGTTCTGCCAACGAAACCAACTAAAATTTCTGTGCTCTTAATACTTGGGCATGAAGTGTGATTCTGCATTATATAAAGGCAGTAGTATTACTGTGGGCGGCCAATCCGGAAATAATTAGGTTATACTTTTCAAGTATTGTTTGGCCACCACGAGGGATAGAAATGTGTTAAGAAGCTGGAGTTTTAGGAAAGACTAATCTGGCACCTCGGTTGCCTTCCTGTCCACTCCCCCCGCCCCCCCCCCCCAGTTGTGGAGATACAGGCAGAGGTTGCCGGACATGCTCACGCAGATGATGGAATACCTAAAGAGCAGGAACCCTGCGCATCGCGAGGCGGCGACCATATTGATAGGTAATTGAAAGCAAAGCTCTTGAGAGGAAAGGGGGTTTCAGGGCACGAGCCAGAAGTGGGATTTCAGCTGGGAAACCTGGAGGCTGAGAGGCAGGGATGCAAGTCCGGGTGTCATGCGCTGCCTAACTCTGTCCAAAGGAGAGCGCTAAAGGGAGGCTGCACCCAGAAAGTCAGGCGCTTCTCCATTGTTGTTGTTTATCCAACCCATGCCCCAAGGTCCCAGGGTGGGTTACCACTTTTAAATACAGGCAGTGACTGGTTTCTTGCGATTGGTGCACCATGCGCACTGGAAGTGGCCTGAAAACATCACCAAAACATCATTAAGATGTCACTGAAAGGGCAGAGCAAGGGTCGAATGGGGGTGGGGTACGGCAGGGCAGAACAAGGGTGGGGTGGAATGCTTAACGTGGCCCCCACCAATGCATGTGGGGGTCTGGAACATTGCTCCCACGCAAAATGAGGATTGCCTGTATTAAAACAGACGCGCCCCTCAACCTTTTTGTGCCTGGGGCAATCCCCCCAGTAGCCCCCACTACGCCACACCATTTCCCCTGTATAGAATCCTGAGGAGCCCCTGTTAGTCGGTGTAGACAGTCCTGATCTGGACAGACCAATGCTTTGACCCAGCTTCAGTCAGCTTCCTAGGTTCCTAGGATTAAACCAGCAAATTGTTAAAGTGATCCAGAAGTTGTTAGCTCCTTCTATAGAGTACCAGCAGCCTATGTGCCTCAGGTCTGATGAATGTTTTTAAGCTGGACAAAGTACCAAATGCAGGAACTGATCGTTTTCTATTGATCTGTCTAGCGTGCAATGCACAGTACATGAAACCTGACTTGGTGAGCACCAAACAAATTGACGACATTTATCTGGGTAAGGATCAAACCGGCTCTTTTCCTTGCAGGGATCTTTTCACCGCAGGACTACTTTTTCCAATCTCATTAATCCCCGATTATCTCAATTTAGTTACTATCAGCCCCTGCAGTCTCCTTTCCCTTCTGGATTGTGATTCCCATATTCTTCTAGCCACTGACATGACGGAAAATCTGACGAGTTTGTGCTGGGCAAAAAACTGCATTGGGAAAGTATAATATAGTTGGATTAGACCTAACAACCAAAGTTTTGTTTCTGTTCACTTGGACTTGAACAGATCCTTTCTCTTTTTAACAACTGGCATTAATTGACCTAGTAATGCCAAGACGAAATGAATTGTCACAGTAGGGCGTGCTGAATTTTTCAGCTTTCAAATTCAGAAAGTGCTAAAACATTGTAAAATGACTTGGGAATTCAGATGTTGTTTGGGTGAAATGAATATGATTTGCTTTTGCTTGGTCAGTGAAATGAGTGTAAAATTGCATAGAAATCATTACGATTGCTAGGAACTTAGTAATTTTTATTTCAGTATTAATGTAATTACCTTACATTTTCAGAAGTTAAAATTCTTTGGTTTTTCCGAAAGCAGTTTTTTCTGCTTCTTCATCAGACATAGACTTACCATGCTAAATGCTGTTCAGTCACAAAAATAATAGCAGATTTTAATTCCTCACACCCAAAAACATATTTTAAACATATTTCATCCCATAAAATGGCATGCGCTACCCAGGGAGCCAGCTCAATTCCTAGGCTGCTTTTCTTTGCCATTGCAACCCCATTGCTTTGCAATTCTCCTGTCCTGTACATCAGCCCCCTCCATATGTTGTTGGGACTACAACTCCCATCAGCCAAAGCCAGCAGAGCCAAAGGTAAGGGGGTTGGGGTCCGTGTGTGTCACTTCTCCTCATCAAAAAACGGCCAGTCCTGGAAACCTCTTCCACGTAAACAATACTGAGCTCAGCAACCTAATGGGCGTAACTCTGTTCCAGGCAGCTCCTTCTGGCCTTATCATGAGAGGCATTCGCTCCTGACAAGATGTAGCCCTGTCCCTCTTTTGAATTTATCTTTTTAAATATCTACGTGCGGTTTATAACCATGTTCTTAGGGCAACTTACAAGAGGAGGGAGCGATGGCCACCAACTTGGATGGCTTTGAGAGAGGATTGGAGGAGAGGCCGTCAATGGCTCCTAGCCACAATGGCTCTGCTCTGCCTCCACAGTTGGAGGCAGAAATGCTTCTGAGCACCAGTTGCGGGAAACCAGAGGAGGGAACCGGGCTCTTGTGCTTGGGTCCCACTTATGCGTTTTTCCTGTTGGCGCATCTGGTTGTCCATTGTGAGAGCAGGACGCAGGACATTGGCCTGATCCAGGAGTACTCTGCTGTGGTTCTCATGTTCCTTCTTCCATTGCAGCTCTCCTGGACCTTCAGGGTGACTTGGACGGGGCTGTGTCAAACGCTGCGGTGACTGCCAGCGAGGAGCTTTTTAGACGCTGTGGCGGTCGGATCAATCCAAAGATTGTACCCAGCCAACATCTCCTGTCCATGCTAAAAAACAACATGGCAAGGCAGTGAGACCGAGAATTGGCATGCCCAGAAGGAGGTCTTCAGAAAAGGCAGGCAAGCAGGAGCAGTGCTCCTTGCGTTCCGAGTGCCACAAAGAGCAGCTGCAGGGCAGCTGGGCTTCCATTTGAATTGAGAGCACTTGTAGAGAACTTAATGAAGATTCTAGACATTGCTTTCTGTGTGGTCTGCCTTTCTCTCTAGGAATCAACCTTTTCGCTTCAACTTTTCCCTTTCCAAATGCCAGTTTTTATATGATGATTTCCTCTCCCCTGTCCCCTCCATCCAATGGAGAGCTGATCACACTCAGAAGGGTAGCATCCCTTCCACATGCCTGCATACACAGAGTATACCTAAATTCCTCCAAGAAAAAAAAGGGAAGGGAAAACATTGGGGGCTGGGAAGGGGTCTGACACATTCCAGAAGACTTGAGACAGCTACATGTTTCAATCATTTTCAGTAATATCTGTCAATTTGATTATACATTGTCAGTCTGCTGCAAATTAAGGTTCAGAATATTCAGGACTCGGAGACCAATTGATTGATTGAAACAGTTCCTCTTTGAAACACCCTTGCATTTTCCTGGCCAGTTTTAATCTTAACCTCATACCTGTCTGTGCCACTCAGGAAGCAAGCTGGGATGCAATAGCAGCTTAGGAAATGAAGCAGTGGGAGATGATTTTACTTTTTATTTATTTATTTATAATTTTTATTAAGGTTTTCAAAATATTACAAAAAGAAAAAGAAAAAATACAAAATAAAAACAGTTAAAAACAATCCAGTCTTTCCATGTCTTATCTTTCATTTGCCTGTTCCCCGGACCTCCTCACACCTCCCTTTTTTGTATCCAGTTCAATTAGTTGGTTCAGCAAATCCTTTCCCTCTTTGTTTTTATCCTAATCTTTAGTCTTAATATATTATAACTTTAAATTATCACCTGTTAACAATCCATTTTTGCACATCTTTTTAACATTACTGCTGAAAACCACTTAACTTCAATCCAACATCATTCTAACATTCATTAATTTTGCAATATTTTTGTAAATAGTCTTTAAATTTCTTCCAATCTTCTTCCACCGACTCTTCTCCCTGGTCTCGGATTCTGCCGGTCATTTCCGCCAGTTCCATATAGTCCATCACCTTCATCTGCCATTCTTCCAGGGTGGGTAGATCTTGCGTCTTCCAATGCTTTGCGATAAGTATTCTTGATGATTTTACTTTTTAGAGGAGTCCCAGAGCAAGAGGAGGAGAATGTAAAAGAGTATTTAATTAACACATTGTCTGAATGGTTAGGAACATAGGAGGAGGAGCTGGTCGGAGATTTTGGACGCAATTACGTAATCAAGCAAAGGCAGGGAAATCACCAGGACCTGATAGCCTGACAGCAAAATATTACAAAAATACCCCCACATAATTCTCTGGTGCAACCATAGCAAAATGTAATGAATGAAATTCTAAACTTAGGTAAGGTACCAGAGACATTAAAAGAGGCTTTTATTACATTAATCCCGAAGCAAGAGGCAGATTTATTATTGATTAGGAACTACAGGCAGATCTTGTTATTAAACAACGATTACAAAATATTTGCAAAGAGAATGAATTTATTAGAAATAGTACATCATGATCAAGTAGGATTTCTTCCAGGACTTCAGATGAAGGACAACATAAGGAATGTAATTGATGTTATAGAGTACCTGGAAGTGAGAAATGAAAAACAAGAGTCCTTGATGTTCATTGACACTGAAAGGCATTTGATAATATCTCTTAGGCATTTATGAATAAGATACTAGAAAGATGAAGTTTGGGGAGACGTTTAGAAGAGGAATAGATGCTATCTATTCAGAACAACAAGCAAGATTAATTGTGGACTATGTTATTATTGAGAAATGTAAGATCTTGAAAAGAACAAGATAAGGTTGTCCCTTGTCACCATTATTGTTTATTTTAGTGCTAGAGGTCCCGATGAGGAATATAAGAGCAAAAGAAACCACAAGAGGAATAAAAGTAGGAAATAAAGCATATAAATTGAAAGCATTTGCGGACGACCTTGCAATAATGGTTGAAGATCGTAAAAAATCATTACCGAAAGTATTAAGGAAAAAACAGGAATTTGGACGGGTATCGGGTTTTAAACTGAATAAAAACAAGACCCAGCCGTTAGTGAAAACTGTTATGGAGCAGGATAAAAAGGAGTTACAACAGATGAAACAGATAAATATACATAAAAAGGTTAAATATTTGGGGATAGGTTGACAACTAATAATGTTAATATATTTAAAGATAATTATGGGGAAACCTGGAAAGAGATAAAAAGGAATTTAGAAATTTGGGGTGCTGGGCAGGCAGTCCCTGCCTCTCAGCCTGGCCTACCTGGCTGTTGTGAGGGAGAAGCGCCATGCAATGAACAAGAAGGGAAGAAGACTCTTTGTGGCTCCATCCCTCGGCCGTTTCCATGGCAACCAGGCATGCCACCTCCACCTCCACCTTACCTAGGATGCGGGTCACCCCCAGGGTCAGCTTCTCCAGATGGGGCTGGGTGCTGTTGGAGCTGCTCCCGCTGCGCAGGGCCTTCTCCTCCATCCTCTGCCTCCTCCCTCCCGCATCAGCCCCTGACCACCTGCACACCTGTACGCGCAGGGACAGCAGCAGGTGGGCGTTTCTTGACTCCTCTCACGACCCGTAGCTCAGAAGCCCAGCCGCGGTGGCTTTCGGGAATCGCAGTCCTCCGTTTCATTCAGTTCCTTTCGATGGCCGTTCTGTAGGGGGGGGGAGGAATGGAGAGCAGGCACTACGACTCCCAGAAGGCAACGGGAGAGTCGGCTCCTCCTCCCTTTCTCCCCCCGCCCGTTCTGAGTCCTCCCCATTGGCCGGCTCCTCCGACTCCGTATCTGGGCGAACCCCGGTCCCCCTCAGCCAATGGGAGGTCAGAGTCGGGCGCGGGGGCGTGGCTGGGCGGAGAGACGTTGGGGTTGGCGGTTGCTTGGAGGTGCCGGTTGTGGCTGCTCGTTGGAGTAAGGACCGTCTCTTTACCTCAGGAGGAACTGGGGAGGGGGGGGCGGGAGGAGAAGGAAAAGCGGGGGGGGGGGCTAATTTGATGAACGGTGGCCAAGGCTGCCGTGGTTCCTGAGCATGTGCAGAGAGCCGCCTCCGTCGCCTCAGGAAAGACGCCCCGCCGAGTGCGGAGCCAGGCCCGGGGGTTACGGGGAAGCCCCCACTCCCAGGGCGGGGGGGGGACCTTGGCCTGCCAGCCTCGCTCTCTCTGGCCCCTCGCCCTCCTCTGCAGGGCTGTTGTGAGGGGCCGGGGAGCGTCGCTGGAGGCGCCCTGGACTCCACAGGGAAAGAGCAGGCGGGAAAGGTTGCTTCTTCGTATTCCAGTACAAATGCTAGTCTGCTCCATTCCCCCTCAGCTCCCTCCAAGTCTCCATTCCGCGCACAGCGTAGCAACCCAAATAGTCGCGCTGAGCGGAGACTTGAACTCGGGGCTTCCCGGCTCCCCCCGTCAACTCTCAGCTGCTGCAGCTGATTCCAGCTTTTCTTTGTGGTTCCCTTTGGTGGAAGTTTTGGTAACTTTTCTGGCTGCCGGCATGGGGAAGACGGGGCTGGTGGTGGGGAGACGCATATTGCATGGCCCTTGAGGTGCCTGTATGTCTTGGGGGACGTGTCCTGCTTATGGTATCGTCTGCCTCCATAGCCTCGGTTCCCTTCACCAAGTGACCCCATGTCTCGTGACCCTGCAAAACAGACCCATAGCCTGTTCGCCACTCCCTCCTAGCGCCCTTTCCATCCTTGGCAGCAGCATTAGGCGTCCCACTCGCAGCAGGATATTGTCCTACTTCTGTATCAAGCTAGAAATGGAGGTTCAGACCTCCAGGCTCCCAAAGTGAGTTGGTTCTTGGAGACCTCGTATCGCAGTTCTACAAAAGTTACCTTGGTTGGTTAGAGCGTGGTGCTGATAATGCCAAGGTTACAAGTTTGATCCTCCTAGGGGCCACCTTCATTTTCCTGCATTTCCGGGGGCAGGGCTAGATGACCCTTAGGATTCCTTCCAGCTCTGAGTTCTATGATTCTAACATCTTTAAGGCTCTGGGGGAGGGGTACACATCTTGCCTCTCCAGCTCAAAAGAGCTGGATGAGCAGCTTACGATAACTCCATATGGTCATATTCTTGGTGCACGTAACTCTTGCTGCACCACCTTCCCCCAAGGGGGTCTTTAGCAGTGACTACGGACCTGCACTGACAGCTGACCTGGACCCTGTGCCTTCGATTTCAACCTTTTTATTTGGCTAAGTACTAGTGCAGTGCACAAGACTAAAATGGTAACAAAGGCTTACAGTCAATAGAAATGGGGGGAGAGGGGGAAAAACAAGCCCATCCAGGTACTACCTCTTTCTTGCTTGGTGTTTGTTGAAGTTATATAATGACTTGGGTGGAGTGGGGATTGCAGAGGACAGTTCGGAGTGGGAAGAAGCCAAATGACAATTTGTCCCAGGTGAGCTTATGAGGAGGGCCTTGCTGTCTTACCCCTCTCTCTGATGTGACCTGCAGACATGGCTGCCTGGGATTGGTATGCTTGGAAGGGAAGGAGCTCCATTTAGTGAGTTTGTAGTGAATTTGGACTTTTTTGGGGGGGGGAGTGAGGGAGAGAGAACGAAGGTAACAATATTCTTTGTTTCTCAAATGGTGTGTATCCCAACCTCAAAGAAGCCATTATAATTACATCCAAATAATTTGCAGCTAATCCCCAGGGTGCTATTTTATGCATTTCACATTATTTACTGAAAATGCATTACCAACGTACAGGCCCTTCAGACAGTGTTCAATAAAAAAAACAAAGCTTGCTATTAAACTGTTGGAGTTGGATCCCAGGAAACGTGTCTCTTGCCACGCATTCCATTTAAAACTGCAACATTTTCTGGTAGTGAAAAGTCCAAGGGAATGCATATGTGTTTAGTGCAACATGTGCAAAAAAGATGCTACAAATTGTCTGTTGGCTTCTTAGAAATAATCCATATCATGACGATTACTCCATTGTCTCTTGAGACAGACAGATGCCAACAGCAACATCAATGGATTGACAACTGAATATTGAGGGTTAAGTTGCAGTCCTAGCTGCAAGGAGAACAGCAAACAGGTGTCTGGATTATACTCTAAGGCAGGCATGGCCAAATGTGGCCCTCCAGATGTTTTGGGACTACAACTCCCATCATCCCTAGCTAACAGGACCAGTGGTCAGGGATGATGGGGACTGTACTCGCAAAATACCTGGAGGGCCAAGTTTGGCCATGCCTGCCTAAGGTGTCTGGAATGCCTTTCTTCATAACCACTCAAAATAAATAAGATAAATAACTTGTTCTTAATAAATACGACAAATAAACACTGAAATCATGTTCAATTTTATTTGAGGCACTGGATAAATTTATGATAGCTTCCCCTGTTTCTGTACAGCAACTAAAGAGGCCAGAATCAATGTGAGCTGATAAGATGATGTAAATTTGTGCTGGGCTCGCATTTCAAGGGACCGAACAGATTAATGTTTCCCCACTGTTGGGTTGGATAGAGGCTTGACATCCAAAAGTGAGATCTCTAATCTGAACCTGGTAGATGAGAGTAAGCGGGCCCAAGAAGCTAAAATGTTTTTCAAAAGTTTAATTTTAAACGTATTGGCAGAAGATAAGTGAATGGATTTTAATTCATGAAGATTGTGAGCAAAAAGCAAGCAAGCAAGCTGAGATTCTTCTTCAAAGGGCACCATGTTCTGTGAGCCTTCTGTGCTCCTACAGAATTGTGGCATCCATGCCAGCAACTTAGTAATGGCTGCCTTTCTTCCAGACAACCTGATGCCCCTTGGCTGCATGACCATCAACAGCATCTCCTAGCTAAACCAAGTCAGAGGATTGGCCGTCTATGCCTTGCCCAATGCCCCTACGCCAGCTGACTTGGAGGACACCGACAATGAAGGAGGTACTGCTCCACCTCACCCCTTTGTCCATGGGAGACCTTGGTCTTCCTCTCCACCCCCCCGCTACCCCACCAAAAGTTTCTGTGACCTTATACACAAGCCCCACCGACGCCCAGCTTCTCAAACTCTGCGTGGTTTGAGTTTTCCTTGCCCTGCACCCGATGAGAATGCCTGCCTGTCTCTCTCAGCCTTTTCTTTCTCCCCAAAGGTAACGGGGGTCGGCCGGAGAAACCTCACTTGGACTCACGGAGCCTGGTGTTTGAGCTGGACCCGTGTGGAGGGAATGGGAAGGTCTGCCTTGTGTATAAGAACACCAAGCTGGGTATGTTGTGTGATACCAGCAGGGCAAGAGCTGCCTGCATAAATCAGCCCCATCTGCAAACCCCAGTTAGCTTTTGTCTTTGTGGGAGATGTTTTAGACTACTCTTCCTAGCACCATACCGTTGTGCTGGCTGAGAGTGATGGGCTTTGTAGTCCAGAACATCTGGAGGACACCAGGTTGACAAAGGCTGTCGTCTATGATGGCCTGTGATGAAGTTTTCCTGAAGAGCAAGCTATGCTTTGTTGTTGGTGACAGCAGTCACGAAATTAAAAGACGCCTGCTCCTTGGGAGAAAGGCGATGGCAAATCTAGACAACATCTTTAAAAGTAGAGACATCACCTTACCAACAAAGGTCTGTATAGTTAAAGCCATGGTTTTCCCAGTAGTGATGTATGGAAGTGAGAGCTGGACCATAAAGAAGGCTGATCGCCGAAGAATTGACGCTTTTGAATTATGGTGCTGGAGGAGACTCTTGAGAGTCCCATGGACTGCAAGAAGATCGAACGCATCCATTCTTAAGGAAATCAGACCTGAGTGCTCACTGGAAGGACAGATCGTGAAGTTGAGGCTCCAATACTTTGGCCACCTCATGAGAAGAGAAGACTCCCTGGAAAAGACCCTGATGTTGGGAAAGATGGAGGGCACAAGGAGAAGGGGACGACAGAGGATGAGATGGTTGGATAGTGTTCTCGAAGCTACAAACATGAGTTTGACCAAACTGCGGGAGGCGGTGGAAGACAGGAGTGCCTGGCGTGCTCTGGTCCATGGGGTCACGAAGAGTCGGACATGACTAAACGACTAAACAACAACAACAACATGCTTTGTTGTTAATATTACTATTAAAATTTGTATACCGCCCTTCATCCACAGATCTCAGGGCGGTTCACTACATAAAATTACTATATCTATATATGCATAAAAAAATAAGAAGAAAAGCAAACATCCCCCTCAGCCAGCATTTAGAAAGGTATTGGAGATCAATCAGCCAAAGACTTGGTTGAAGAGGAACGTTTTCACCTGGTGCCTGATCACCACCTGGGGCTGCTGCATTGGCAGTATGCCTTCACCAGCTACAGCCTCAGCCCCCAGGCTAAGATGAGAGAACGACAAATGGCTCGTCCCTTTTCCTAGGGTCTGCCGCTCCTCCCCATTCTGCCTTCACAAAAGCCCTGCGAAGGAGGTCACGCTGAGAGTGAGTGATTGGCCCAGTGAGATTCATGGCCAAACGGGAATTTGAACCCAGCTGTCCCAGGCCCCAGACCGACATTCTCATCCAGTGTGTCTCAAACTTGGGTCCCCAGCTGTTGTCTGGACCCAAGTTTGAGAAACACTGCTCTTACCACTATGCCACAGCACCTCTACACTGACTGGCTGCTGCTCTCCAGGGCTTCAGGTGACATAGCGGGGGGTCTCTCCCAGCCCTCCTTGAAGATACCAGTGGGGATTTGCATGTGACATAAATGCTCTCCCCTCTGAACGAATCCTTCCATTCCCTTGCTCTGTTCTGCATCACTCCCACTTTCCCAGAGAGGCATTTAGACACTGACTCTCCAGGATTTGGAGGGCAGCAGCTGTTCTCAGCCCCACTTGGAGATCCCCAGGGAGTGAACTCTGCATCCAACGCACACACTCAGACACTGAAGCATGATTCTTCCCTCAGATACACCATGCAACATGAGTTTAGGATATTATCATGCTGTGGTGTGATATCTCTTCTGCAGCTCTATGCCAAGAAAGCCTTGCAAAGGGTAATAATAATAATAATTTAGCAGGTCATCCAGGGATTGAATTAGGGATCTGCTCCATCCCAAGCAGACCCCCCTTCTGTCCCTGAACCCATCTAGCGGGATTCCTGACAGAGGCCTCTGGTCCCACGGCCGGCAGATAACAAGCCAGGAGTCAGGCCTGGAGACACCCCCACCCTTCCGTCGCTCACCTTCCTTCTCTGCCGTGTGCAGCATTTTTTTTATCGCCAATTTTTATAGTTACCAGACGGACAATTTGACAGACAGGGCTAGGAGCCTAAAGTCCTCTGCGTCAGCCATGCTAATCTCTGTATCGTTCCAATTTTAGTATATGTGCTGCCGAAGCGAGCACTTCGGGTTCCCTGATTTACCTTTGAGTTCCCTGATTTACCTTTCTTTTACCTGTCCTGCATCTCCCAATGAGATACTCCCTTCACTTCCTCTGTGCCATGCCAAACCTCATAAACTTCTATCGTGCTGCCTCTTACTTGCCTTTTCTCCGAACCAAAAAGTCCTAGCCTTGGCCACCTTCCTTCATAGGGGATTTACTCCACCCCTTTGATAATTTTGGTTGCCCTTTTCTGAACTTTTCCCAACATCCTTCTCAAGACGAGGGCCCTCAGGCTCCTGGCAGGCAGTTCTGGGTGGCAGGAAGTGCCGTTTCCTGCTCCTCACTTTACCTTCTCCTTTTCCAGCAAGGTTCAACACGTACAAGCCCATCCACTTACAACACGGAGCAGCTCTCTGAGGAGGCCGATTCCTTCGTGAACAGGCTGGACCCAAACAAGATCTTCCTGAGATTGCACAGCAGCACCTTAAAGTCATGTGAGTCTCCCTTGCTGATTCCAGTATCCTTCTGGTCAAGATCAGACCCAGAGGCAGGGATAGTCTTCAAACAACGACTAAACCTGCCTCCTCAGTAATGACATGGTCTGGACTTAGCGTAACTCCTCCTGCTGCCCGTGATAACTGAGATCGGATGTCCCAGGACACCCCACCCCCCGTGGAACATGCCCCAGCCATTCTGTTGGCTGGGGCCCACTCCCAAGCAGCCCTGACCCTCTCCCCTTAAGATTAAAACTATACCTATCCACAACCCAACACCCACCCACCCCCAACAGAGAAAGAAGCACACAAACAAAAGAACACACCAAAAAAGCACAATTTAAAAAGCCACAGATAAAATATAATTTAAAAACTATTTTTAGTTTTACAGGAGCCCTCTCTGCCGAGTAGCAGCCACAGTCCTTGTGAAGCCTGTCAGCCCCCCCCCCCCACATGGGGACAGCCAATAGGAAGCTGCAGGCACTCCCCCCCCCCGCTGTGGCTCCGAAAGCCAGCGGGGAAAGCGGCGGGCGTGGGCGCATGTGCACAAGTGTGCGTGCTCACATGGGCGATCTGGCCCGCCGGCGGAAAAGTTGGCCGACCCCGGGTTTAGTTGGTAGATTATTCTATGGTCCTGTTATAAGAATAATAAACGATCATAAAGTGAGTTATAAAGCCCCTCAAAAAATTCCCTCAAGGTTCGTCTGCTGACATTACATTTGTTGCATCGTTGCATCTATACACTTGTACTGTGTCACTACGTTTTTACTGAAATTTCACGTATCTTTATTACTGTATCTGTATTTTGTATCTGTTACCTTCTGTATCTTTACTTTTCAATGCTGACAAAAAATTGTGTATTTCTTTATTTGTACCAATGTATCTGCAAAACTTTGATACTAATAAGAAATGTCATAGTTGTCCGTGGCTACACAGTGCCATCTATGAAGTCTACAGTACACACACAGACCAATTCACAAGTTGAATGACTTTATTCAAAACAAGGCTATACAATCACACTTATATATGCAAAGTACCGGAAAACACCCAAAATCCTGTCTTCGTTTCCTCTCTTATGGATCTGCTCCAGGCATCACTCAAAGTCTTCCTGAAAAATCAGAAAAACAAACAATACATAGGCATCAATAAACATGGGAAAAACAGGAATCTGCCTAAATCCTTTTGTATACACTGTCTACACCATAGAAATCAAGTATCCACAAATGCTACCATTATCAACTATTTGTCCTTCTGATTTACCTGTAAATCCCTCATGCTGCACCTAGTCTGGCATCCTGTTTTTTTCACTTGCTCATTCCTTCTGTATGGAAAATGAAAGGTATAAATTTTGTTCGGGTTGGTCCTCCGCTGAGCAGGGACCCTGGTGCAACAGATCTTTTCTTTGCAATAAACGATCGGGCTTAATTGCCGCCTTGCTTTAATATTAATTGTTTTTGTCTCTATTTGTTACTCCTGACCGGTAAGAGCCTCAAAACGCACTCTACACCGTGTTCCTTTCCTCTACAAGAATCGGGACTATATTAAATGGAATTTCCTCTTTTAACAGTCCCAAAAGGTTGACTTGACAATGCAACTCAATATAATATTTATACACAAGAGTACAATTAAAGATGAAAAAGGACCAATCATTTTTTTAAAAAAACCATTTAACATTTGCAAATCTAACAAATGCAATTTTAAAAAATCAATCCAAAAAATATTCAACCAGTTGTTAAATTGGAACCCTCCTGTGGTTTCCGGCAAGTCGTATTCAGAAGCATTGCTGCCTCCAACTATGGATCTAGATTCAGGTAGGTAGCCGTGTTGGTCTGATGCAGTAGAAATAGAAAAAATATTTGGCAATCTTCGTGGAGCTCTGGCCCAATGGTTGCCATCGGTTTGATTTGACTTATTTTTATAATGGATGATTTTAGAGTGTTGTATTGTTTTATTGTTGTTAGCCGCCCTGAGCCCGGCTTGGGCTGGGGAGGGTGGGATATAAATAAAATTTATTATTATTATTATTATTAAAAAATTGTCCAGTAGCACCTTAGAGACCAACTAGGTTTGTTCTTGGTATGAGCTTTCATGTGCATGCGTATCTGAAGAAGTGTGCATGCACTCGAAAGCTCATACCAAGAACAAACTAATTGGTCTCTATGGTGCTATTGGACAATGCTTTTTGTTTTTTATATATATTCCAACTACGGAGGCAGAGCAGAGCCATCAGAGCAGAGCCACCCTCCATGAATTTGTCCAATCTTATTTTAAAGCCATCCAAGATAGTGGCCACCTGTGCGTCTTGTGGCAGTGAGTTCCATAGCATAACTGTGGATGTGGCAGTGTTGCTGGGCCTCTTTTTGTGGCTGTGCTACACAGAGATAATAGTGACAAAATGTCTTAGAAGACATCTGTGATGGAGAAGGCAAGGGCAAGCTGGTGGCTGCGGCCGGCTGATGCTGATGCCACAGATACAGACACAGGGAGATGAGAAGGCAGATGCTGCAGCCACATACCCTCCAACATTTCTCTGATGAAAACAGGGATGCCCCATTCCATAATGAGAATCTCCGCAGCCAGTTATTTCCTCTCAGCCTAACCGGCCTCGCAGGGGCGTTGTGATGACAAAATGTGGGAGAAGATAATGACGTGCACCATCTTGGGCTCCTCAGAGCAAAGGTGGGATATCAGTGTAATGAACAAAAATGTCCCAGGGCTACTTATTTTATTGTAAGTTTTCCTCCAAGGAGCCCAGTGTGGCATAGATGGTTCTCTCCCTCCTCATTTAATCACCACAACAACACTGTGAGGTAGGTGACAGGCACTGACTGACACCCACCCCCTGCCTTGTATGACGCAGGCCTTGGCAAGGGGAACCCGAAAGGGATCTGGTTCTGCCTACTCACCTGGGAACACTGGCCCAGAATCCTCAGGGCTCTTCTTTTTCCTCAGGGACAAGTGCTGCTGCTGCCTGGAGTCTGGCTTTCTGTTGACCGGCTGTTGATCTGACGCTGTACCAGCTCTGGGAAGACTACTGGCTCCACCTTGTTATTTCGGGCCACAGTGTGAATCTCTGGCCACCCCAGCACTTATTATTCTTATTAAAAGGGAACGCAAATGCCAAACTAAAACTGTATCTTTCGCTCCATAAGACGCACCTAGTTTTTAGAGGAGGAAAACAAGGGGGGGGGGGAAAATGTTCTGAACGAAACAGTGGATATATGATTTTTGTGGTTCATGCTGTGGCCACAGACATGTGATTTGACGGTGAGTTTGGAGTAGCCCAATGCAAAAATCCTGAGGATCCATGTGGATCTGTGCTTTGTAACCCCATTTTTGCGCCATTGTGGCCCCACACAACAGTGGATGCGTGATTTTTTTGGTGCAGGCTGTAGCCATGGACATCCTATAATAATAATAATAAATTTTTATTTATACCCTGCCCTTCCAGGTTCAGAAAACCGGGCTCAGGCGGCTAACAACAAAAATAAAACACTTAATTGATGCAACAACAAAAAAGCATAAAATACAGTATGAAACATGAATAACAATAAATTCAGAATTCAAAAATCAATTTGGGGGAAAATCCATCCAATAAACATTAGATGATCACCAGGGCTAGCTGGCTAAATTAGTCCTACTTGGGCCAGTGAGGAGACCAGGGGAGAATTAGGTGTGGGATCCCAGAGCAGGCAATCTTCATAAAAAGGGGAGAGGGAGGGAAGGAAGGGGAATAAAAGATCAGTTCAAATTGAAAGCAAGGCAGAATAGCTCTGTCTTACAGGCCCTGCGGAAGGAGGTTAAATCCAGACTTCCGGTCGGTGCCAGCGCTTAATGGCGGTCCTCCCTCCGAGCTCCGGAGAAGGACTGCTCCGCAAGTTCGGGTCTTACCCGCTACGGCGAGCGGGGGACCCCTAAAATCTCAGGCGCTGAAGCCTGAGAGCAAGGAGACTTTGCGCCCCCCGGTACTGTGAAAGAGCCTTTTTAAAGGCTCCGGAGCGGCATCGGGAGTGAGCGCGGTGCTGAGAGTCGCTACCCAGCCTGCGGAGTGAAGCCGCGTCGCCATAAGCGGAGAGCGCCGATTTCTTCCTGAAAAGAAAATTCGGACTGAATTCCCGTGAGTAAGAGCAGAAAAAGAATCAGGACCCTTTAAAATTTGAAAATCTGGCTGAAAACGGGAGGGAATAAAATAAGGAAGTCTGCCCCCCCCGGACTGCAGAAATTTAAAGCAACGAAAGACCCCGCTGCAGTTATAAGAAACTTAGTTGCGAACTGTCAACCCTGAGCTGTCAAAAGTATCTCTTCCCCCCTGATTGGAGGAGAAGGGGGAAAAAAAAGACAGTCTTGCGAAGATACTCTTAATTCAAGGGAAACAAAGTTTTCCACTGCCCTGATCCCATGGGGACGATCTGCCAGGAGTTAACACCGGGAAAATTGTTCTTTAAAATAGGTATGAAGTGGATATAGACTATGCCTTAAATGGTGAACGAGTTTTAAGACTTGAACGGGACTTTGTTACAGATATTTGATTAGCTAAATCTACTTGGAGAAAAAGTTTTAAATAACTTTAATGGCGGACTTTTGACTCTTTACATCCGGCTTTCTGTTTCTTTGTTTCCTCTGACTTGGACACTATTAATTGCTCCCTCTGGAGGACTAAGAGGGAAAAAAACCTGTAAAGTAACTGGCTGACAGTGGGATTTTCCATTGCAAGTTTTTCCTGTGAGAACGGCCTTGGGATATGAGTGGCACGGCAGAGGAGATAAGAACCAGATCTAAAGCTAAAGTGACACAAAAGAAAAGAGGCTCAATCTCTGGCAATACAGTGCCTGCACCGGAAAGTGTGACAGCAGCATCAATGGAATCTATGACACAGGCACTGCTTAAAATAAATCAATCCCTAGAGGCCTTAACAAAGCAATCTACAGAAAATACAAAGAAATTGACAGAACTCACAGCAAGATTGGACTTGAACACCACGTCAGTGGCGACTAATACAGAATCTATAAATAGACTGATTCAGGAATCTACAGAAACTAGGAAAATTGCAGAGAGTGCAAGATCTATTGCCGGGGAGACACAGGAAAAACTTGCACCGATAGAGAAAAAGGTGAATGAGCATGAAGCGGCCCTCTCCTTACTGGAGCTACAACGGAAAGAACGGAATCTGAAATTAAGACAGGTTCCAGAGAATGAAAAGGACAACCTGACGGAATTTCTCACAGAGGCAATTTTGGAAAATTGGCAAGGAGATCTGGAGGAGGATGAAGTAGAAATAACAACTGCTTTCAGACTTGGTAGAAAGCAAAGTGAGAAGCCAAGGGATTGCCTGATTACCTTCAGAACCAAAGAGGGAAGAGATAAGATACTGGACCTTCATTACCAAAAAGCTTTGGTAATTGGAAACACTCAAGTCCAAATCTTTAAGGACATCCCTAAATACATCTTGGAAGTGAGGGCCTTCTATAGAGACTTGGCCAATTTGCTGAGGAAGAACCTTATACCTTTCAGGTGGGAATTTCCACAGGGGTTGTCCTTTAACTACAAAGGGAAGAAAAGAAGAATAAGAACAGTACAGGAAAAAGAAAACTTCTTGGAAAGAAACCTAGAGGACCTACAGAAAGGTACGGTGGGCCTGGCAGGAGGAGGACAAGAATCAACACCAGAAGGAGGAGGGCTAACAGACATTGCAAATCTATCATTTGGATTACCACAACCGCCAACTGAAGAGGAAGAAAAGTTTGGAGCAGTCGGAGGGTCAAACATCAAATAAATAAAATGTCTCTGCAATTTCTTAGTTGGAACTGTAACGGTTTGAACCATCCCAGAAAAAAACGACAAGTTTTCCACATTTTGAAAAGGGAACAACTGGATCTGATATGTCTACAGGAAACCCATATAACCAGAGCACACAGGAAACTGTTGGTGAACAAAAGATTAGGACAAGAATTTATATCTTCTGACAAAGTAAAAAAGAGAGGAGTAGTGATTTATGCAAAAGAAAAATTGGACCCAAAAATGAAATTCAAGGATGAAGAAGGAAGATATTTGGCAATCGAAGTACAGATTCAGGGAGAAAAATATTTGATAATTGGAATATATGCACCTAATGATGGGAAGGCCGAATTCTTCAAGAAGTTGCATGAAACTTTATTGGACTACCTCGACTGCAAAATAATACTGATGGGGGACATGAACGGAGTGGTCTCCACAAATATGGATAAGGCACAAAGACAGACAATTTCTAAAGAAGGAAGACTACCAAAGACTTTCTTCGAGATGACGGAAAACATGGACTTGATTGACATCTGGAGAACAAGGAACCCTCTCGAGAGAGAGGGAACCTTTTTCTCGGAATCTAAAATGACATGGACAAGAATCGACCAAATCTGGGTATCTAGTGTGATGGCTACAAAGATAAAGAAAGTAGAAATCTGCCCAAAAACCTGCTCCGACCATAATGCAGTAAAGATGGAAATGAAAATGACAACAACTGGATCCTTCAGATGGAGAATGAATGACTCCCTATTTAGAGACGAACAATTTTGTAAAAAGGCCCTAAAGACATTAAAAGATTACTTTGAGATAAACTCGAGAACAGAAGTGGAAAAAAGAACAATCTGGGACGCGAGCAAAGCCGTGATGCGAGGCTTCCTGATACAACAGAATTCAATTAAAAAGAAAAAGCAAAATGAAAGGAAAGAAAGAATATTAGAAAAAATGAAGGAAGGAGAAAAGAAATTGAGGTCTAATCCAAAGTCTCAAGAAATTTTGAGAGAAATAAAGTATTACCAGACGCAATACATGGAACTGACAAATCAAGAGATAGAATGGAAAATTAAACAAATGAGACAAAGGACTTTCGAGTCAGCAGACAAATGTGGGAAGCTTCTTGCATGGCAATTGAAAAAGAGGCAAAAATTGAATACAGTCACCTGTTTGGAGATAGAGGGAAAGAATATTCACAAGCCAAATGAGATAAGTAATTGTTTTCAAAGCTTTTTTAGGAAATTATACACACAAGGGCCAGTGAATGAACAAGAAATAGATGAATTCCTTAAAAATCATGGACTACCTAAAATTTCAGAACAGAGCAAGTTGACTTTGAATGAGAAAATAACAGAACAAGAAATAGAGGAGGCCATTCAAAAAGCGCAATTGGGAAAGTCTCCAGGACCAGATGGTTTGACGGCTAGATATTATAAAGTTTTGAAAGAATGTTTTGTGCAACCATTGAAAGAAGTCTGCAATGAAATATTGGAGGGGAAAAAGGCACCTGAAACGTGGAAAGAGGCTTTTATTTCACTTATACCAAAAACTGAGACTGAAAAGAATCAGGTTAAGAACTACCGCCCGATATCATTACTAAATGTGGATTACAAAATATTTGCAGACATTTTAGCAAAAAGACTGAAGAAAGTATTGATAGGTGAGATTCATAAGGACCAAGCTGGCTTTCTCCCGGGAAGACATATGTCTGATAATGTGAGGAATATAATAGACATTGTGGAACTGTTGGAAATGAACATTAATAGAAAAGCGGTTTTGATCTTTGTGGACGCGGAGAAAGCCTTTGACAATATTTGCTGGAGTTTTATGAAAAAGAATCTCCAAGGGATGGGGGTAGGCCAAGGTTTTGAAAATGGTATAGGTGCAATATACTCTGAACAGAAGGCAAAGCTAATTGTGAATAATGTGGTAACGGAAGAGATAGCTATAGAGAAAGGAACACGACAGGGATGCCCTATTTCCCCTCTACTTTTTATACTGGTCCTGGAGGTTTTGTTAAATATGATTAGAAAGGACCAGTTGGTTAAAGGAATTCAGGTCGGAGCGAAAGAGTATAAACTGAGGGCATTCGCAGATGACCTAGTTCTGACTTTACAGCAGCCAAACACTAGTACAAAAAGAGTCTTAGAATTGATTGAGATATTTGGTCAGGTTGCAGGATTTAAACTGAATAAACAAAAAACTAAAGTGCTGGAGAAAAATCTAACAAATGAGGAAAAAGAGACATTCCAGAATGAAACAGGTTTGGAGATAGCAAAAAAGGTGAAGTACTTGGGGGTGAACTTGACAGCGAAAAATGTGAACTTATTTAAGGACAATTATGATAAATGTTGGACAGAAGTCAAGAAAGATTTAGACATATGGTCAAGGTTGAAACTTTCCTTGTTAGGCAGAATTGCTGTTATCAAAATGAATGTATTGCCTAGAATGTTATTCCTGTTTCAGACATTACAAATAATAGACAAGATGGACTGTTTCAAGAGGTGGCAGAAAGACATATCGAAATTTGTTTGGCAGGGCAAAAAGCCAAGAATAAAATTTAAGACATTAACAGACGCAAAAGATAGAGGAGGTTTTGCCCTGCCGGACTTAAGACTTTACTATGAATCAGCAGCGTTTTGCTGGCTGAAAGACTGGCTGCTCCTCGAGAATACAGACATTTTGGATCTTGAAGGGTTTGATAACAGATTTGGTTGGCATGCATATATATGGTATGACAAGGTAAAAGTGCACAAAGGCTTTAAGAACCATATGGTGAGGAAAGCTCTGTATAATGTCTGGATAAGGTATAAAGATTTGTTTGAAAGCAGAACCCCTAGGTGGCTGTCACCAATGGAGGCAAATGAGGTGAAAAAATTGAATATGGGCTCTAATTGGCCTAAATATTTTGAAATGATAGAACAAGATGGTGAAAAAGTAAAATTGCAGAGTTTCGAGAATCTGAAGTTTAAGGTGAGAGATTGGCTACATTATCGACAGATAAATGAAGTATTTAAACAGGACAGAAAGAAAGGCTTCCAAGTGGAGAAGTCAAAACTAGAAACAGAACTGTTAGAACCCAATACTAAAAACTTGTCAAGAATGTACAACTTGCTGTTGAAATGGAATACTCAAGATGAAATGGTGAAATCTAGCATGATTAAATGGGCACAGGATATAGGGCATGACATTGAGCTTGCTGACTGGGAGCAGTTATGGACCACTGGTGTTAGATTTACGGCATGTAATGCCTTAAGAGAAAACATTATGAAAATGATCTACAGGTGGTACATGACTCCGGCTAAGTTAGCAAAGATTTATCATCTGCCCAATAACAAGTGTTGGAAGTGTAACGAAACGGAGGGAACCTTCTATCACCTTTGGTGGACCTGCCCGAGGATTAAGGCTTTCTGGGAAATGATCTATAATGAAATTAAAAAAGTTCTGAAGAGAACCTTTAATAAAAAGCCAGAAGCCTTTCTCCTGGGTATGGTGGGCCAAATGGTGCCAAAGAAGGAGAGGACATTTTTTATGTATGCTACAACAGCAGCAAGAATCCTTCTAGCAAAGTATTGGAAGACACAAGATCTACCCACGTTGGAAGAATGGCAGACGAAGGTGATTGATTATATGGGACTGGCAGAGATGACTGGCAGAATCCGAGACCGGGGGAAAGAGGCGGTGGATGAAGACTGGAACAAATTTAAAGTTTATCTTAAAAACTGTTGTAATTTGGAAAATTAGAGGACCAGGGTAATAAGAGATAAAGAACTACAGTTGTTTTATTATTTTATGGAAGCTAAATTTATGAAATAGAAATAAGTTTAATACGAAAGGGTTGCTGGAAAATCTTGAAACATGAATGCAGAAAAGGGGTGGTATGGGGAAGTCGTTTTTGTGTTTATCTATGTTTCTACTTTGTTTTCTCTTTTATTTATGGAAAATTAATAAAAATTTATTTTAAAAAAAAGAAGGAGGTTAAATCCTGCAGGGCCCTGGCCTCATGCGACAGAGCATTCCACCAGGTTGGAGCAATCACTGAGAAGGCCCTGGCCCTGGTAGAGGATAATCTGACTTCCTTAGGGCCTGGGACCTCTAAACTATGTTTATTCAGGGGTGGGGTGGGTGGGGCTTGTGCCCAGAGATAAAAGGAAACCAAGAGAGACACCAGCCTCGTATGATGCAGGCCTTGAAAAGAGGAACCCGAAAGGGATCTGGTTCTGCCTACTCACCTGGGAACACTGGCCCAGAATGCTTTTCGTCTGGTCTGCTGCTGACCCGCTGAACTGTACTGGCCTGGTGCAGTAGTAACTCAGGGAAAACAGCTGGCTGGACTTGGTTCTTCCTCCAGGCCTCTGCACGTGCTTGAGGAGGCTTCACCAGCATTGGCAAGAGTTGGTATGTTCTTTGGGCAGCAGGGTCCTGGCCGACACTCTCTTGTAAATTAACTGGATAAACTTTTGATGAACTTTTCTTCTTCTTTAAGAAGAAAGCCATCCTGCAAGAGGGGAAATGGCCCGCTGGTTGGTTAGCTCTCTTGGAGCCCCTTTGGACATAAGGGCATCTGAAGAGCAACTCAGCAAAAAGAACTCGCCATGAGGTCTGGATAAGTAACTAGCCTGACTCTAGACCCAGGTCTTTTAACGTAACCAGGTCTGCTAGTGACTCTTCGCATCACATCGCAGTCGGCCATAGATGAACGATATTCCACTTTACGTCCTTTACTGCAGAAACAGATTCGGAAACGATAAACAGGATTTTCAATGGGGCAGATGTACCCTGCAAAGGAAGAGATATTAATAGTCTACAACTCATCCCGCACCTCAACATCGGAGGAAGAACAGGTCTTACAGCTAGGACTGGGTTTTGTGCCCAAGCCTCGCTATAATGCCTTTCGCACCACAGCAGAAAGTGTGTAAAAGCTCATGCACAATATCAAGCTATGTGATATGCATGGATCTAATGTTCAGCCTTTATAGCAATTTAAACCCGAATCTTCCTTCGTTCCACCTAATTCCAACCCATCTCTCACACTGTTCCACTAATTGGTGCTCCACAATTTAGACAAACTTGAAAAGAGGGGCCCTAGGGCATAGGACAATTTAACTGAGTCTCAACATAACTGTTTGAATGACTGAGTCCAGGGTGTCGTACATTGTCCTGGGCAAAGGTGGTTGGGATTCCAGGGTAAATATTAGGCTCAACATCTCCTGGCGCCGCACGTTTTTCCACGCAGTGATCTCTAGGATAAGCCAGTCATGTGTTGCACTGGGACCTATAGCACTGTGTTTAGAGGTAAACCGCAGTTCCCATGATTCTTTGGGGGGGGAGGGGGGTCATGTACTGTAATGTTATGGCATGTCCACAGCCAGTAACAACAACCAAAGTGAATAGTTTCTGGTGAATTTTCCTTAAATTGTCTTGTCTCAATTTAGTGTTTATCATTGCAAGGTGAGCTAGATACTGCAGTTTTTGGCTGTGGTGACCTGCAGTCAGTTATAATTAGTTAAAGTTGTTTCTGTATGTAACAATAGCAGCTAGGATTCTATATGTGCAGAAATGGGAGTTGGAGTACTGCAACACTGAGACATAGGAAACTGCCTTATGCTCAGCCAGACTGTTGGGCCACCTAGTTCACCATTGTCTCCAGGCTTCAGATGATCTCCAGGGTTTCAGGTAGGGAAGCTCTCTACCTGCAAATGATGGAGATGGAACCTGGGACTTTCTGCGTGTAATGCAGATGTTCTACCATTAAGCTACAATCCTTTCCCAACATCTGGAGGGCATCCTTCCTTTGTGGAGTGTGCTGGCCAGCAAACAAGGGGGGGGGTGTTATTGGAAACACTATTACTATACTATTATGTTTTTGTTCCTATTTTTATTATGTATTTTGTGTTCTTCATACTGTGGTTTTATGTTGTGATCCACTCTGAGACCTATGGGTGTAGGGCAGTGTACAAATTTAATAAACAAACAAGCCTTGATGTGCAGCTGGCCCTCTTGCCCGTTATATCACTTCCAACATTTGTCTTTCTCCTATACTTTGCTTGGCCCCGATGGACAGAAACAGGCCTGCAGTATCCAGCTGTTGTCTGAGAGCCCTATCATCTCTCCCCCTCAGCATTCTTGTCGGCCTATGTCAAGACTGACCCCTTGCCCTGCTGCATCTATAGCTTTGCACCCGCGGAGCCAGCTCTTTCCAGGTTTGCATCGCTTTTCTTCTTGAGCTGCCTGCCTGCTGCCTGATGTCATCGCTATGTCCGGTTCTCTGCTGCCCTGGATTACATGCCCTGAAAACTCGTGCCTCCTAAAGTAACAGCTATCAGAGCGGCAGCATTGAGAGGAAGGGTGCGCTGCACACACGGAGGGTGCTCTTCAAAGCAGGACCCAACAGCAGGTGAGTTTCCCCTGATTCTTCGGTTCATCATTACAGGCCCAATTTAACAGAGGGAGAATACTTGGTGGGGACATGCCCAACACCCCTGAGAGTAGTGGTTCTCAAAGGGGGTGGCAGGGGAGAATGGCAAGTGTGGCAGGGAAAATAAATAAAAAAAAACATTTAAACATTTCAGTATAGTATAGTATAAAAATAATTTTTGGGAATATTGCCAGAAACTGCATGCATGCTTCTTTTCAGGAGCATTGGCTATTATTCTCCATGACCTGTTGTTGCGAAGAGGGATTTTGAACTCTAACAAATATGTAACATCAGAAAAGAGAAAGCTTTCTTTCTGTTGATAGGCATATGGTTGTCTCAAATTACACCTAATATCGGTAACATTACACAACAAAAGCAAGCTCACACCTCTAACTGAGTTTGTAAACTTACAACCAAACAAAGCTTTCCAAAGATCTCTGAAGGACAAACCTCTAGTAGCAGGGAGTTCCACAGGGCTTGGCTTGTCACACTAAAGGGTACATCCCGAGTGAAGACTAGATGAAACTGGGGGTGCTGGGAACCACCAGAGATTCTCAGTGCTTGAAGAACTAGGAATCAGGAAGGCCCTGAGATAATTTGGGTCCTAGTCGTTGAGGGCTTTTCTTTGATTCTATGATTCCAAGAGCCTTCTTCCCCTGGGGGTTCCCTTGGGGGTTCCCCAGCTTGTGCCTCCCACCACTTCTCTGCATCCAGCCGGTCCATGACACCACTGCATTACAGCTTCCATCAGCTCCAAATCTCCCAGAGGTCACTGGTTTTGGGGAAGACGTAATTAGAGGAAGAAAGTCGCTGCACAGCACACGGTGTTTGGAAGCTATCAAGCAGGCAGATCTTAGGTTTCTGCATGGAAAATAGAAGAGGACCGATAGGGGGCCCCACCCTTAGGGAGCCCTTTGAAGCATCAAAGGTAAAAGATGGGGGAAATCCTATTAGGTCATTTAGTTCATCCCCCTGGGCTCCCTGCAAAACAGTCTCCGGTGCTCTATTCTGGGGTTCACGCCTAAAATCATTTAGTTCCAGCCTTAATACGAAAATACAGATCTCCTTTATGGAAAGGGCCAGTCATCCAGCGTGGCCTTCCTCCTCCGCACCACTGCCACGGGAGCATTTAACAAGCCGGCAAATTATAAACAGAATAAATTTGGTTCTCCTGAGATCAAAGGGAACACAGGCAGGACGGGGGACGGAGGTTGCACAAAGGTTTCGAGGGATGAGTGAGCGGCAGTTTCTGAAGGGGCCTGAACCAAATCCTAGATCAAACGGGAAATTCTGTCTTAAAAGCCTGGATGTTAGATTAGAAATATCCCCGGGGCAAAACATAAGATTACACTATTAAAAGAGCCATGTACGCTTTGGAGATGGCAGTCCTTTAAAAAGAAGAAAAAGTAGCAGGTATTTTTCCTCCAAGCAAAGGTAACTTATTTTGGGGGGCAAGTGTTCTGAAGGTCAGGTCCAAAACATGAGACGGTCCAGGCAGGATTTTATGCCATAGCAAGGTCAAAGGGGGACGCGGGTGGCGCTGTGGGTAAAACCTCAGTGCCTAGGACTTGCCGATCGCATGGTCGGCGGTTCGAATCCCCGCGGCGGGGTGAGCTCCCGTCTTTCGGTCCTAGCTCCTGCCCACCTAGCAGTTCGAAAGCACCCCTAAAGTGCAAGCAGATAAATAGGTACCGCTTTATAGCGTTTCCGTGTGCTGCGCTGGTGCTGGCTCGCCAGAGCAGCGATGTCACGCTGGCCACGTGACCCGGAAGTGTCTCCGGACAGCGCTGGCCCCCAGTCTCTTAAGTGAGATGGGCGCACAACCCCAGAGTCGGACACGACTGGCCCGTACGGGCAGGGGTACCCTTACCTTTAAGGTCAAAGGAGAGGCAGTGTGGTGCAGTGGCTGGAGTGTTGGCTGAGACTTGGGAGACCAGAGTTTGAATCCCCACTTGGCCATGAAGTTCACTAGGTGACTGGGGGTGGGTGGGTGTCAGTCAGTGCCTGTCTAACCTACCTCACAGTGGTTGCGGTGATTACGGTAAACGAGGAGGGAGAGAACCATCTATGCCACATTGGGCTCCTTGGAGGTAAACTTGTAATAAAAATGCAATAAAAAAGTAGCCCTGGAGCATTTTTGTTCATTACATCAGTGTTTCCCAACCGGTGTTCCGCGGCACACTAGTGTGCCGCGAGACGTTGCCTGGTGTGCCGTGGGAGGGAGGCGGGCGAGTCGGGCGGCGAGAGGCGGGGCGGCGGCGGCGAGGATCCGCGTCGAGCCGGGGGCAGCTCCGCGGTGGTGGTGCCGAGGTTTCTCTCTCCATTCTCCCCTCACACACACACACACACAGGAAATAGCACAGGATCAGCTGACAGGACCCGGCCAATGGGGCGGCGGGGCAGCGCGCGCAAAAGGGAGGAGCGCGAGACAGCGGACGAGGAGGAGGCCGGCATGTCCGGGCAGCAGCAGCAACAACAGCAGCAGCAACTCCCGGCGACGGCTCCTCAAGCCCCGGGCAACCCTACTCCCTCACCGGCCTCGGCCGCCCTCCTGCTCCACCCGCCGCCGCCTCCCCCGCCGGCCACCTCGGCCCCGCCGCCGCCCCCTCCTCCGCCCGCTATCGCCGCCACCACCACAACAGCCGCCGCCTCAGCTGGGCCCATGCCTGCCGGGAGCGGCGGCGGCAGCAGCAGCAGCAGCGCCCCGGCGCCCTTCCCTCCCGGCGTGACGCTGCGCGCTGACGTCACGGGGCTGTAATGGTGGTGTGCCTCAAGATTTTTTTCATCAAACAAGTGTGCCTTTGCCCAAAAAAGGTTGGGAAACACTGCATTACATTGATATCCCACCTTTGCTCTGAGGAGCCCAAGATGGGGCATGTCATTATCTTCTCCCACATTTTGTCATCACAACGACCCTGCGAGGCAGGCTAGGCTGAGAGGAAATAACTGGCTGCGGAGATTCTCAAGCCCGGAAGGAAGCTAGGTGGATAGCAGAGAGCCACTTTAGGAGGGGGTCCTGCTGCAATGGGCCCCCCAAAACAGGAAAGGGTTGCCAAGGGAGAACCAGAAGGAAACGTCTGGAGGGAAAGGAGGTTGGGGAAGGTGGGGGAGGGGAGAAGAATTTACCTCACAGGGCTGTTGTGAGGAAAAATAGAGGAAAATATAGGTCAGCCTGGCCTCCCTCACAGGGCTGTTGTGAGGAAAAATAGAGGAAAATATAGGTCCGCCTGGTCTCCCTCACAGGGCTGTTGTGAGGAAAAATAGAGGAAAATATAGGTCCGCCTGGCCTCCCTCACAGGGCTGTTGTGAGGAAAAATAGAGGAAAATATAGGTCCGCCTGGCCTCCCTCACAGGGCTGTTGTGAGGAAAAATAGAGGAAAATATAGGTCCGCCTGGTCTCCCTCACAGGGCTGTTGTGAGGGGGAAGCGCCATGCAATGAACAAGAGGGAAGAAAGGCTCTTTGTGGCTCCATCCCTCGGCCGTTTCCATGGCAACCAGGGATGCCACCTCCACCTCCACCTTACCTAGGATGCGGGTCACCCCCAGGGTGAGCTTCTCCAGGTAGGGCTTGGTGCTGCTGGAGCTGCTCCCGCTGCGCAGGGCCTTCTCCTCCATCCTCTTCCTCCTCCCTCCCGCATCAGTCCCTATCCCAAAGGGGCACGGACAGCACCTGGTGAGCGCGTTTTGCTCCTTCTCGCGACCCGTAGCTCAGACGCCGCGCCGCGGTGCTTTTGGGGAAACGCGGTCCTCCCTTTCATTCGGTTCCATTCGGCGGCCGTTCTGCAGGGGGAAAGGAATGCAGAGCCGGCACTACGACTCCCAGAAGGCAATGGGAGAGCCGGCTCCACCTCCACCTCCTCCCTTTCTGCCCCCCCGTCCGTTCCTCCCCATTGGCCGGCTCCTACGACAGCGCGTCACTTGCGCCGTATCTGGGCAAAGCCCGGCTTCCATAAGCCAATGGGAGGTCAGAGTCTCGCGTGGGGGGCGTGGCAGGGCGGGGGGACGCTGGGAGTGGCGGTTGTTTCAAGATGGCGGATGTGGCTGCGGGGCCGGGGCCGGAAGCAGCTGCTCGTTGGAGTAAGGATCGTATCCTTCCCTCAGGAGGGGCTCGCGGGGGGGGGGGGCGTGGCGGGAGGAGAAGGAAAAGCGGGGGGGGGGGTCTAATTTGATGGCGGGCCGATGATGAACGAGTTCAAAGGCTGCCGTGGTTCCTGAGCATGTGCAGAGAGCCGCCTCCGTCGCCTCAGGAAAGACGCCCCGCCGAGTGCGGAGCCAGGCCCGGGGGTTACGGGGAAGCCCCCACTCCCAGGGCGGGGGGGGGACCTTGGCCTGCCAGCCTCGCTCTCTCTCTCTGGCCCCTCGCCCTCCTCTGCAGGGCTGTTGTGAGGGGCCGGGGAGCGTCGCTGGAGGCGCCCTGGACTCCACAGGGAAAGAGCAGGCTGGAAAGGTTGCTTCTTCGTCTTCCAGTACAAATGCTAGTCTGCTCCATTCCCCCACAGCTCCCTCCAAGTCTCCATTCCGCGCACAGCGTAGCAACCCAGATAGTCGCGCTGAGCGGAGACTTGAACTCGGGGCTTCCCGGCTTCCCCCGTCAACTCTCAGCTGCTGCAGCTGATTCCAGCTTTTCTTTGTGGTTCCCTTTGGTGGAAGTTTGGGTAACTTTGGTGGCTGCCGGCATGGGGAAGACGGGGCTGGTGGTGGGGAGACGCATATTGCATGGCCCTTGAGGTGCCTGTATGTCTTGGGGGACGTGTCCTGCTTATGGTATCGTCTGCCTCCGTAGCCTCGGTTCCCTTCACCAAGTGACCCCATGTCTCGTGACCCTGCAAAACAGACCCATAGCCTGTTCGCCACTCCCTCCTAGCGCCCTTACGATCCTTGGCAGCAGCATTAGGCGTCCCACTCGCAGCAGAAACAACTGAGGGTCCCAGCCACCAAATGGTCATACATCTAGAGGCTCCCAGAGGCAAAGTTAGTGGTTTTAGAGACTTTGCATCACAGTTCTGCCAAAGTTCCAGTTACAGATAGGTAGCCGTGTTGGTCTGCCATAGTCAAAACAAAATTCTACTGGACAAAAATGCTACTGGAAGGAATTTTTTTAGTTCTGCCAAAGAAGGCTATCCTGCAATAGGTAGCTCGGTTGGTTAGAGTGTTGCTGATAATGCCAAGGTTGCAGGTTTGATCCTCATAAGGGCCACCTTCATTTTCCTGCATTTCAGGGGGCTGGGCTAGATGACCCTTAGGATTCCTCCCAACTCTGCCGTTCTATGATTCTAACATCTTCAAGGCTTTAACGGTGGGGGGGCACACATTTTGCACCTCCAGCTTAAGAGTTAGATGAGCAGCTTATAATAACTCTATATGGTCACATTCTGGGTGCATGTAATTGTTGCTGAAAATAAGACCTCTAATCTGCCCTGGTGGATGAGAGTAAGTGGGCCCAAGAAGCTGAAATCTATTTCAAAAATATAATTTTAACATATTGGCAGAAGATAAGTGAATGGATTTTAGTTCATGAACGATGTGAGCGTGAAGATATCAAAGAGAGATCAACAGCATATTGTAAGTAAGTGAATCATGAGGAAGGGAGCAGTGTACTTTATAAGGAACAGTATATGCAAGTAATTGCATAAACGTGCTATTTTGTTATTCATGTAATCATTATCTTCATATATTGTTCCTTTCATTATTCAGATATACTGTCCTCTTCCCCAGAATTCATTTATATATAATCTGTTGTTGATTTCTGTTTGGTATTATTATGCTTACATCTTTTATGAACTAACTTGCATACATAGGTCTTCAGCTGATGTATTTACACTACATCTTTCCAAATGGATTTTAGTCTCCATTTTGTTGCTCCCCTCTGGCCCACTGGGGCAGAGTAAGAACTTCCTTTCAGCATCTAGAAGAGATGATGTGCAGAGAACAACTTATTGGATGTAACTTGCTGCCAGTAGTTGGGAATGGGCTGTTATTAACTTAATTGAATCCACCATGAATTGATGGGTGACTGCTAAAGATATGCAGTCTGATGGCAATCTGGATGATACAACAGGGAAGGGTCCCAGATTATGGTCTTGACTAGGATGCAGTTTACCCAGATTTCTCTCCTGATCCTCAAATACCAGTAGCTGCTTCTAAGAGCCCCAGATAGCTTTTTAAAAAATGTGTGAGTGTGAAGCTTAGTCTCTCTGTGTCCATAATCAGAGTCTGAGGAGCATGCATTGAATGTATGGCCTCCAGGAGTTGCTTTTATAATCAAGGCTAATACAAATAAATGTGGCTCATTATCTCTGTGATTGAGCTAGTTACAGGGCCTGTAATAAAATACAACCTTTTAAATGAGGTCCGTTTAAGAGTAATAACAAAGTGGATTTACAGAAATGTTTGCTTTGGTAGTCTCCTGGTCAGTTGTCTGCTGCTTCTGAACTTTCTATTTTGATGCAGATTTTTTAGACTACAGTGGTACCTTGGTTTCCAAACAGTCTGGTTTGCGTACGTTTTGGAATAGAAACAAGTCAAACCCAAAAGTGTGTGTCCCGGTTTGCGAACTTTTTTTGAATTACAACCTAATTTTTTTGGATGACACACATTTTTTTTTGGAGGCCCCATTGGTGAAAGGGCTTTGGGTTTTGGTTTACTAACGGACCTCCGGAATGGATTATGGTTGTAAACCAAGGTACCACTGTATAATATTTACAGAGTGTAAAATGTAGAATGGAACAAACCTTTTGCCCTTGCTTTCCTTGAATGAAATTGCATTCAGTTTCTGACGAAGAGCAGCCACCTGTCTATGTCCCAGGTATGATCTTTGAATGGTTGCCAAATTTAACTTGTTGGGTAGTGAATTGGGCCAGGACCTGATTCGGATTCACTCTGTGCATACGGCACATGCACTCTTATCTTGGCAACTTTGGAGCAACGGGTTATAAAATGAGATTTTGTAACTTTGGGGAGAGGGCTAGAAGTAAAAGAGTTCAAATGATAACTTAGGGATACAACCTTTTCAGGTCCTTTAGCGGGGCTGGAAAAATCATGGAATGCTTTTAGGCACCATCACCTCATTTTCACAGGTTGGCAGCCAGCCTTTAGGTGCTCCTCCTAGAGCTAGAGAAATGGTTTAAAGCTGTCATTTAGCAACATTTGATCTCTAGCTGCTCATATTTACATGTTTATTTACTTACACTTAACCTTCTCTTCCATCATGGAGCCCAAGGTAGCGTGCATGCATCTGTGGTTCTCAGGCAGTCTCCCACCCAGCACTAACCAGGCCTAGACCTGCTCAGCTTCCAATAGGTCGTGGCATCATGTTCCTTCTGACCCTACCCTGGGAATATAAAGATCAAACTGTGAATAATTTCATTGTATGCACTGACTTCCTGATGCATTAGAGCTGGGCTCTGAGTTTCATTTGTCTGCCTAGCCAACTCCCAATTGGCCCTTCCTTACTCAGAGGTATCAGAGAAGGTGAGGCAGAGTTTTGTTGGCCTGCTTTGACCTGCTTCTATATTCTGACTGTTTTTACTGAGAAAAGAATGAAAGATTTTCATGGATAATTTCAAGAACTTAACCCAGTTGACAGCAAGTCCAGTCTGCTTTGATGATACATATTTTTGTCAGCCCCAGAGACAGTTCCTGTTTGTGTGAAAATGTGTTCTTTGTATTGACCCTTAGAAGTTGAAGTTAGTGCCATGTCAAGAAACATATGTCTCTTGAAGGTAGATGAATTTTCTGTGCCTTAATTTTCTCCATGTTTCATATCCAAGAAGTTCTCTTCTGCAGGCAGATGATTCAGTAGATCAGCCCTGGTTGATCAGCTTGCAGTCTCTTTGTATCATTCTGATTGCTGCCACCCACCCACTTCTTGGGTGCTGGCTGGGTCCTTCAAAGCCAGAGAGAAGCTTGGCTATGCCAAAGCAGCCACCCCACACTGATATGTAGTGAATTACATACTATAGGGGGACATGGGTGACGCTGTGGGTTAAACCACAGAGTCTACCTAGGAAGGTCGGCAGTTTGAATCCCCACGACGGGGTGAGCTCCCGTTACTTGGTCCCAGCTCCTGCCAACCTAGCAGTTAAAAAGCATGTCAAAGTGCAAGTAGATAAATAGGTACCGCTCTGGCGGGAAGGTAAACGGCGTTTCTGTGCGCTGCTCTGGTTCACCAGAAGCGGCTTAGTCATGCTGGCCACATGACCCAGAAGCTGTACGCTGGCTCCCTCGGCCAATAAAGCAAGATGAGTGCCGCAACCCAAAGTCGGCCACGACTGGACCTAATGGTCAGGGGTCCCTTTACATACTGTTTACATAGTATGTTATAGTATGTTTACATACTATAGGATGTTCCAGCCCCAAATGACAGAAGTAAGGGAACTTTCTCTAATTGCCTTGTGAAGAGTATAGGAACAAGGCAGCAAAAATGAGTCTTGTCCTCCTCTCTACTCCTCTCCCTGGTCTTTGGTTCTGTGTTGTGATTGTCAACTTCATAATTGTAAAAGAAATGGTAGGGAGGAGGATAAGCTAGTTGCTCATGGAATTATAAAACATTATTAAGTACCTTCAAAGCCATTAAAAATCTGTTTGGTATACAAAATAATTGAGCTTATTCTTATAAAAATGTTGAGAATAGTCAGGCAGCTGATGTGATAACTGGGGTCTATAAAAAGACTATTAATCTTTGGTCTATGGTGTAACCATGCAGGACTCTTTGAACCAAGCATTCGGCCTCTGTCTCCTGACGGGAAGAGTAAGTCCAAGGTGCAGGGTTCTTGGTGTTGGGCAGGGTTATCC